TCTTATTTTTCTCTGACTTTAAAACAGGAGATATTTCCAGGTTGCTTATATGGTGAACTACTGGCTAACTTTGACAAGGTAAAAAACCAAAACAACCTTCTTCCTGTATCAGAGGAGTGAAGCAAGAGGCCCTGTCACTTTTTAGTGCAACCAAGACCTTACCCCAAGCATGAGGCAGCAACCGTTACCTGTGCAGATGCCCACCTGGCAGGCAAACTGGCTACCACCTGTGGGAATAACCATGTTAAGTAAGTTCAAGCCACACATGAAAGTAAATGTAAAAGAGATGGGCACCACCGAGCCAGCTCTCTCATCTCCCTGAGCCATCTGTTCCCCCACTCCCCAGGTCAAATACAGGGGCATTATACAGAGTATCCCATGAGTTCATTTTTATCCAGAAATCTGCATGGACCCCATACAGCTTTCTCTGTCTGGGTACTACTTTGACTCTCATGTCTTTAGTTCAGAGCAGATTTTAATTTGTTTGTTTTTACTCAATGAAAGACTGTCTTTCTAAAGCCCAGCCTGTGAAAAGCAGTGAGCAGCCTCTGAGCTGCTGGGATCCTTAGCACTTAAACCAGAATTTTTTTCTGGATCTCTTGCTTTAAGCTGCATTTTCCTGCTGTCCTTACCTGATTCTACATCCAGAGAGTATTTATCGATGGCCAGGTTCATGGTGTGATATGCAGTGTTGCAGAAATCTTCCAGGATCATGTACACAGCGTTGGTGACATTCCGGGGCACAGGTCTGGCAAATTTCATTCGACTGTTCACCACAATGCTGCCATTTCTGAAGTTCAGGATTTCCAGGTTCTGGAATCCTGTCAGATTTGACTGAAGGTAGGGCACCAGCTGCAACACAGGGGATATGACAGGAAAGCTGAATCTTTGAATTTCTCTCTACTCAAGCCAGTTGCACTGTTACTGCAGCAGACAACTAGAGTCTGAACGGTTTTATCCAAATTGTACATCAAGGGCTTTCACCTTTACCCGGCTCAGGTCTGTGCTGCCAGGAGCCTGAGTATTTCAGGGAGCTCTTAAGAGTATACCAACTTGCAAGTAGTTTCTAAAAATCTAACAATTCAGAAACACAGTTCTCAGGACCCACATTGTGTTCTCCCTTGATCTAAGTACATGGAATATTTGCCATTTCACAGGGTTTTTCCTTCAAGCATGTCTCCCCTCTGTCTCTCTGCTTTGCTCCCTTCATCTCACACAAAAGGGTTTGTTTCAGTCACAAGAGGGGAATTTCCCAATTAAAATTTGGCAGTTGTTGCTGTGTAACTCCCATAAGGCTTTCCAAGCCATCAGGTTAGGAACAGCGTAATTCCCTGAGCTACCTCTTAGGACAGGTTGAATGTGTTGAAGAAAAGTTACCTGCTCACAGCCCCAGGTTTTCTTGCATCTTTCTCCCTATACACTAAATAAAGAGCAGTCTGGAAGTAAGTAGGGCGAGTGTGGTAGTGACTTCAGCTACACTGCTATATTTATTGACACCAGCAGAGCAGCTGGTCCATGATGCTAAGTTCTCCTTCAGAGAGACTATTATCTGACTAAAAGGTGAACAGAATCTCACCACCCATTTTCAGACAGAATCTTCCCCACAGAGGGACACAAACCTTATGTGTAAACACCAGTTGTAAGTTGCTCTCTGTGAAAGAGAGATGACTAAATATAATTTACAAATAGTTTTTGTCTATCTGCTAATGGATATTTAGCACAGAAGTAACTCTTACCAGCTCCAAGAATCGCTGCTCCAAGGCTTTATATTCAGGGGAGTTTTTATTAAACAGGTCCTCTGAAAACATCATGTTGGTAACCCGAAGACTGAAGAACACAACTAGAGCTCGGGATGGGACAGTACTGCTGTAGTGGGTTTCATGTGTGGCCCAAGCCACACTGGCCATCTCTGTGGACTGGACATGAGTTGTCAGCTCCATGTGACTTTCAGTCATTCTCCTTCCCTCCTCAGTCCGCTCAGGAGAAAAGTGAACAGTGCTAACATGGCCCAGGTCTACTGAAACATCCAGGACTCTCGTTGTTTCATCTCCCAGCTTTGTTGAGGTAGCCACAGACAATGACGGTGTGGATCCCACAGGAGGGAGGTGGGACTGAAGCTCAACAGTGCTTGTTGTTACACTCACTGTTTGATAATCCATTACAGTGCTGAAGCTCATGGAAATATGTGTGTCATGGTCTGTGCCATGCTGTCCAGGAAAGCCCTCTAGGACAGTGGTGTGATCTGCAGTGTTGCAGAAATCTTCCAGGATCATGTACACAGCGTTGGTGACATTCCGGGGCACAGGTCTGGCAAATTTCATTCGACTGTTCACC